TATCATGCAGACTTCTAAGACCAAGCTGTTTAGCCGTTAGGATAGCCAGACTTCTGATCAAAACTGCCCTTAATTTCTTTTTTTTTTAATGTTTATTTTTGAGAGAGAGAGAGTGAGCGCAGGGGTGAGCAGGGGAGGGGCAGAGAGAGAGAGGGAGACACAGAATCTGAAGCAGGCTCCAGGCTCTGAGCCATCAGCAGAGACCGATACGGGGTTGGAACTCATAAACCATGAGATCATGACCTGAACCGAAGTTGGACGCTTAACTGACTGAGCCACCCAGGTGCCCCAAAACTGCCCTTGATTTCTAATGTTAGACACATCTTTCAAACCTCTGTAAATCTGAAGTTTCTCATTTGTTAAAATGGAGTTAAAATTATAAAACACATGTGAAGACGATGGCACAGAGTGGGCACTGAACAAATGTCAGTTCCCTTCTCTCTCTTTCTTCTACAAGATCCCTTAAATCTAAGCAGACCATCCATTCTCTGGTTCAACATCTGTATGGTTAGTAAAAACCTAAATTGCTATAGAAACGTAACTCAAGGGATATGTAGATAGTGAAAATAATGATAAACTCATTGTCACAGGCAAAGAGGACCATGTATGTATGTCATGTATGATTACAGAAGAGCCAAGAGAGCGGTTTTAAAAAAAATCCATGACGTTGATTCCTTTCTTAAAAGGGGACAGGTCACATCAATACCTCACGCCTTGAACTCATTCTCTGCCACGTAATAATTATGGCTCATTGTTTCCAAACACAAAATATTCAAATCATATCAAACAGATATATCACACTTCCAACTCAATGGAACTGTCTGAGACTCCAAATGTAGGTTATTCCAATAGTGTCCCACATTAGCCAGGAAAGAGAGTCCCTGGGATCATGTGGCTCGTCAGTGCCCAAAAGAACTTAAATGCTAACTCCTTTACAGCTCCTCTCTGCTGGCTCACTTGGATGAGAATGAAGCAGGGGCATGCATGACCAACACTAGGTGGGGATGGGCCTGAAAAAGAGGCAAGAAGTTACTCAGGCTGCAGATATGGGCAGAAGGGAAGCATAAGCTCAGAGCTGCTAACGTCAAGAGGCATTCACAGACCTACTACCACAAAAGCTAAGCAATTAGCAAATCTGATGCTAAAAATATTAATATGCATAACATGATTTAGAATATTTCTTCCAATTTTCAACTTAGTGCTAGGGAATTATGTGCCAATAGCTGTCTTATATTTGTGACTCCAGCTCTTGGCACAATCCTGCAGAAATGGGGTTGTGTTACTGCATATGTGGGTGGTTATTAAGCACTTTATAATGATCATGTTAAAGGTTATATTCCTCATACACGTACCTTCACGTACTATTATGAGTTAGACGTGTACATGAGTAGACAATGGTCTCCTTCTATTAAATGCAAACTGGCTGAAATTACTGTTTAAGTTGCCAGGTTGTAAGAGAAAAGAGATCAAATTAATGAGGGTGAAGTTGTATAATCAGTTTATAAAACAAATCATGCTGAGGTCAAGGCTGACATCGCCAACTCCCACACATCTAAGTACCCTTAAAAATGTGACCTTCTCTTTTTTCCCGCCACCACTGCTCTAATTCAAGCTGTTTCTTATTTCTCTTCCATTCACATGCGGTTGATGAATCATTTATCTTGGCAAAACATGAATTCCATCATGTCACCCGTCTCAGAAACCTCTGAGGGCTTCCCACTGCTTGAGACACAAAGGCCCAACTCCAAGGCAAGGCATTCGCTGCTCTCCTCAATTTGGCCCGTCCTTCTCATTCAGTGGTTCTCAACCACTCGGGGAGCTTTCAAGATAAACAGGCACACATCTTGTGCCCCAGAAATTTTATTTATTAGTTCTGGGGAGAGATCTAGGGACTTGAATTTTTCAAAATATCTGTGGATGACTTTTATTCACTGCCAGGGTTGAACCACTGCTGTAATTTTCCCACCTATTATTTCACCCAACATGAACTAATAAACCTTCTGTCCCAGCCAGTAATGCTGATCTGTTTGTTTGTATATCCGGTTCTCCGTTCATGCTGTTAATCCAACCTAGAATATCATTTCCTCTCTTAGCTCTTTATTTAAATTTAAATCTTTACCATTCCTCTAAGATTAACTGAAATCCCACCACTATCTTTATAACCATCCTGAATCATAATGATATCGCCATTCTGATGACCCCAAGAGCATACATTACCTTCATGAAGTACTTTATGGCAATTAATAACATATTGTTTGCACTGTGTTTTTTTCCATACTTTACTCTCTGTATTTCTGACTCCTGGAGGGAAAGTCAACCTTTCATACTATCTTTGGTTCTCATTCCCTAGCCCCTTGCACCTATGACAGCATTAAACATAAAGCAGACATTCACTCGTGTGGTCAAAGCTTACGACGACTAAAAAATTAAAGTCTCTAAAATTTATGAAGTGTATTCTTATAACCTGACAACATAAATTATCAACCTGAAGTGTTTTTCATGGAAAGCATCACTATATACCCACACAGAAATGATAATTGCTTGTCCACAAAATCTGATAGGATGTCAAACACAGGGTTGGTTGAGGCTTATAAATGTGTTTTCCCTATAGACAGAAGTACTTTCCATGTTTATACATTCAATTCCCATAAGTTCGCAGAACAACAGAGAGCGAGAAGTAGTAAAATGTCAACACAGGACTTAAAATGACCCACTCATGTGATCAAACTGCTCAAGAGCCATTTACTATTAACTACCATGGGGAAGAACACAAGAGCAAATGCTCCCTTGCCCTCAATTTAGGAAACATGAGAGTATCAGCAACCTACAGGTAAATGTCTTTTATGCAAATACTGAAACCCAAAAAGCTTTCAAAAGCTGGTGTGAGAGCATCCAATAATATGTTGAACTACATCCAGAGCTCCAGTTCAGGCCCTCCTGTGGCTTGAGCCACCCAGAAAGGTACTATTCTGCTTCTAGGGCATGGGAGATGTGACGCCACACTCAGGGCTAGAACTTCTCTGCAAACAGTGGTATGCATGGTAGCTGCCTGTGGTTAAAGTCGTACTGGTACATAGGAGTTAAATAGTCTTGGGAACACTGGCTGAGAATCTAACCACTATTTATAACATTGTTTTTGTGGAAAAATGTTTTCCGCATTCCAAACAACAGAATTAGATATGAACTTTTGGAATACAGTTTTTTTCTTGGCTTAGGAACTGACTGAATCTTGTTATTTACACTATGGTCAGTATTTTCCTAGGATAAGATGGTAGAGTGGGGGTCTGCCAGCAGTGCAGAACAGGAATAAATAGTTGCCAGGAATATGGAGCATATGTGACTAAGGATGAAAGACAGGATGATGAAAGAAAAATCCAGGCACATTACTAACTTATTAAGCAAATATTTACCAAGGGCTATTAAGATTATGCTGAATGCCAGAGGAAACAAAAATTAGACAAGAAGTTTGATTTTATGGTCCTCACAACCTATGATGGGAGATAAGATAGACATAAACACAAATAATAAAGCTGCCTGGTAATATGTGCTATGACAGTGATAAAAACAAAATGTTAGATGAAGTCAGCAGAGAGAGACAGAGAGAGACTCAGAGCTAATGCTCTAGCTAGAGCAGTCGGAAAGTTCCATGGAGGAGCATGCATGTGTGCTGAGCCTTGAAGTTTGCACAAGATTTTCAACAAGCAGAGGACACAGTAAGGTGGAAGGAGAGAACATTCTAGAAAAAACACAGACTAATACAGTACACATCAAGCCACAGAGGCATGAAGAATGGTGAGAATTCAGAGAATAGGAAAGAGTCCAGTTGGCCAAGATGAAGGGTATTTTTAGGAGCTGGGCAGAGGGCTTCAAATGCCAGGCAATGGAACATGGATTCCATCCAACAGTGAATAGGGAGCCATTACAGTGTTTTAAAGTACTGCAGTTCTATATGCAGATCTATCTGGCAGTGGAATACAGGATGGAGGAAGAGTGAATGAAGACAGAAGACCACTAGGAGATAATTCTATAAGTTGATGTTGGTTAAGATGACCTTTCAAAGATAAGTTTTTGAATAAATAAACATTTAAGGTTCAAGTACTAGTTCATTATTAAATATCTCCCTTCAATGATCACAAATATATAAGTCACTTAGAAAAGCCATACAAAACCTTAACAAAAACTGAAAAACATAGTTCTGGTGGATAAAACACTTTCAAAAACATTAAGCTTGAGGGGCGCCTGGGTGGCTTAGTCGGTTAAGCGTCCGACTTTCGCTTGGGTCATGATCTCGCGGTTCGTGGGTTCGAGCCCCGCGTGGGGCTCTGTGCTGACTGCCAGCTCAGAGCCTGGAGCCTGTTTCAGAGTCTGTGTCTCCCTCTCTCTCTGACCCTCCTCTGCTCACGCTGTCTCTCTCTCTCCTAGAAATAAATAAAAACATTAAAAAAAAAAAAACAAAAAACATTAAGCTTGAGGGGCGCCTGGGTGGCTCAATCGGTTGAGTGTCTGACTTTGGCTCAGGTCATGATCTCACGGTTTGTGGGTTCAAGCCCCGCACTGGGTTCTGTGTTGACAGCTCAGAGCCTGGAGCCTGCTTCAGATTCTGTCTCCCTTTCTCTCTGCCCCTCCCCAACTCATGCTCTGTCTCTCTCTGTCTCAAAAATAAATTTAAAAAAACAACAACAACAAAAAACATTAAGCTTGACATTTAGTCAGGACCTGATGACTAGACTTGATGAAAAATAAAGGAACATTTTGAGGTGTAAATTTCATTTTTAAAATGATACCAAGAGTTTAAACATTACAATTTTAATAAGCATATGAAATTTACAAAGAAATAATCTTTCCACTATTTTTCAAGACCAATGAATTCAATATACAAGGCAACTCTAAGATATCCTGAGAAATTTGAAAGTTGAGAAAGTGTCAAAGATACTGGACTTAATTCTTTACATGTTAAATCAATCTTAAGCCAGTGTTAAAATGGGTAAGAGCAGACTTACTTGAGATGATTTGACTTAGCAAGTGTCTTCTAAACTTCAAATTTTCAGTATTGGATGAGACACGGCATTCATCTTTATCTGAAAAAAAATGTAATGGAAGTAATGAAAGAATTCATAGGTAGCTTATAGAAGACAATTAACCAATTATATGATTACACCCTAAAGACCATAATAGAGTTATATGAAGTCCTATAAAACTGACATTACTTATACTATGTATAATTTAAGAACTAAGATAAAAATGTCAAGCCATGCCCAAAGACTTCTAAAATAGGAGATATAATACATTCCCTTCATATATATTTATGTCAATCTCCTCAAAATTCTGAAAAATATATTATTAGATATTCAAAAATGATTGACACCGAATTCTTTAATTTAACCAATAATCAAGCTGTATTCAGTACTAATATCGTGGAGACCAGGGAAGGAAGAAATTGCGTTGGGGTGCCTGGGTGGCTCAGTTGGTTAAGCGTCTGACTTGGGCTCAGGCCATGCTCTCACGGTTCATGGGTTCGAGCCCCGCATCGGGCTCTGTGCTGACTGCCAGCTCAGAGCCTGGAGCCTGTTTCAAATTCTGTATCTGAATTAATCTCCCTCTCCTCTCTCTCTGACCCTCCCTTGCTCACACTGTCTCTCTCGCTCCCTCTCTCTCTCTCTGAAATAAATAAAACATTAAAAAAATTTTTTTAATTGCGTAAGAGAGTTTGTCCTCAAGAAACCCACAAACCACAAGAGGAGACAAACACAAATAACTCCATATCAAAGTAAATATAGTAAGTGCTCCAAGTGGGACAAGGTGTATGGGATTTTGGAGAGGGTTAATTACTATAGGGAAAATGTGGGAAGGCTGTGTTATGGGCTGAATTGCATCCCCCCAAAGTCCATTTAGTAACACCCTAATCTCCAGTACCTCAGAATGTGACTGTGTTTGGAGATAAGGCCCTTAAAAAGGTAATTAAGTTAAAATCAGGCTGTTAGAATGGGCCCTAATACAATGTGACTTGTGTCTTATAAGAAGAGATTAGGACACACACAGTGGAAAGACCATGTGACGACATAGCAAGAAGAGTGGAATCATCTGCAAGCCCAGAGAGAAGCCTCAGGAGAAATCAACCCTGTGGACACCTTGATCTTGGATGTCTAGTTCTAAAACAGCACATAAATTTCCATTGTTTAAGTCACCCAGTCTGTAGTATTTTGTTACACAGTCCTTGCAAACTAACATACCCCACAAAGGTGAAATTTAAATAGAGTTTTTAAAAGAGAAGGCTTTTAATAATCAGATAAAGACAAGGTTTGGAAACAAACAGCATTCTAAAAAGGAACAAAAATTACTTTATTTTAGGCATATAGGCCACAACGAAAACACAGCGTGTACATATGGGTGAGCAGGGAAGAGGCAGAGAGAGAGGGAGAGAATCTGAAGCAGGGCTTGCTCCTACAAGATCATGACCTAAGTTTAGATCAAGTTGGGACACTTAACCGACTGAGCCACAGAGGTTTCCCCTAAGTCATTACATTTCTCTATTATGAGTATAGCTTGGGGGGAAGAGAAAAGCGGGACGGGGGTGGGGAAGGAGGAAAGAAGGAAAAGAAGGAGACTGATAAGCCAACAGAAAAGGACTAGAATTTGGGGTTGAGGTCATACCATAAAAGGGACTGAATACTACATTCAGTATATGGAGTTTTATTTTACACAAAAAAGAAGCCATCAATGGTTTTGAGTAGAAAAGTTGTTTGAATTTGTATTTTAGAATGATGACTCTAGTTTTGGAGTATGAGTTACTATGAGAAGATCCCAAAGGCACCGAGACCGTTTTGCTACTGCAATAGTCAAGATAAGAAGAAATCGGGGCAATTGCAATGGAAGTAAGAAGTTAACAATTCACTGAAGGTGTGCTTGAAAATCAGAACCAGAATAACCACTCCATCACTTATTCATGACTGAGAACACGGAACAATTATCAACATTCAGTTATAGAGTTACAAATGCAGAGGCTCTTGGGCTTCAACAGACCCTTCTTTTCAATCACAACCGTACATTGTGTGTATCAATTATTACCTTAAAAAATCAACTGATCCAAAGACTTGCTTCACTCTAATACCTGACCCTAGAACTTCAGAGCTCAACCTGTAATCAGTAAAACCCTAAACTCATTTCCTCAAAGAACATACGACTTCAGAATTATTTATATAGTCTCTCTTGCATAACAGGTCAATAAAACCATTTTCTTATCTCCCAAAAGATTTATTTATTTGAGGATGGGGATTTCCACAGAAAAAATAGATGACCATCAGTGAAGCTAAGGAAGAAGAGCAAAAGGAGGGAGGAACCCTGTCTGTCCTACCTTTTCAGGGCAGAAGGAGGACTAAGAAGTTAACAGTCACTGATGATCTCAGAAAGAAATTTCAGGAAGGCAATAAAAGAAAGCAAAACCTTCTAGTAAGGATTAAAGAAAAAGAAGAAGTTAAATTAACTGGTAAATTTTACTCTTCCAAGAAGACTGGCATACTTTGAAAGTGAAGGTGAATCTTTAACCAGATTTTTTTTATTATTGTTACTGTCTCTCTTTTTTTTTTTTTTTTTTTTTTCCATTTTTAACGCTAGTAGAAGGAAGACATGGAGAGGAGTGGCAAACAATGGAGCAAATACAAGAGAAGAAGGAAACAACAACTCTAGTAGAGTTAGCCATGTTAAAGAGGAGAAACAATTCTTTCTCTATGATTAGAAAGGAAGGAAGGTGGGGGAGGTGCCTGGGTAGCTCAGTCGGTTAAGCATCTGACTTCAGCTCAGGTCATGATCTCACAGTTCATGGGTTCAAGCTCTGTGTCGGGCACTATGCTGACAGCTCAGAGCCTGAAGCCTTCTTTGGATTCTGTGTGTGTGTGTCTCTCTCTCTCTGCCCCTCCCCCCTCATTCATTTTTTTCCCCTCTCTCTCTCTCTCTCTCTCTCAAATAAATACACATAGAAAAAGAAATGAAGGAAAGGATGTGTGATAAATACAAAGAAAAATTATTGTGTAAAGGGGTAAAATTGAGGGAGTTAAGATCTAATGGCAAGACCATCTATTGACATAGAGAAGTTGAAAGAGGGAAAGAGAAAGAGAGGGAAAGAAGAAAGAAATGAAGGAATGAATGAAGAAATATCTGAATTTAAGAGTTTAAGAGGGAATATAATTGCCAAAGGAGTAAGGAAAAGAGAGGTGGCTTTCAGTTTTTGAGATCTAGGAATGATTCTATGTGACAGACTGAGCAAGTTAAAAAATAATGTCTGAGTGTCAGAAACTCAAAAACATAAATTAAGAGAAACAGATTATAAATCACATACTGTGGGCGAAGATAGCAGTTCCAGGTCTGATACAGCCACAGCTGAGGAAACTGGAGCAATGTCCCAGAAGTGAACCAATACCAAGAATTAGAGAAGAGGCAGTGTAAGAATTAGAAGAGAAAGAAATGACGCACAAAGGTGGCACACTAATCACAGAATTGACAGTGGAAAGCAAAGGAACACATCAACTATCCTTTAAAATCTCGAATTAGAGGGGCGCCTGGGTGGCTCAGTCGGTTGAGCGTCCGACTTCAGCTCAGGTCATGATCTCACAGTTCATGAGTTTGAGCCCCATGCCGGGCTCTGTGCTTACAGCTCAGAGCCTGGAGCTTGTTTTGGATTCTGTGTCTCCCTCTCTCTCTGCCCCTCCCTCACTCATGCTGTGTTTCTCTCTGTTTCAATAATAAGAATAAACATTAAAATAAAAGAAAATCTCAAATTAGATCCATCAATAGATGAATGAATATACAACATATACTATAATTAAGAGTACACATCTTGATGAGCACTGAGTAATGGGTAAAAATGTTGAAACATTATTATATGGTAAACCTGAAACTAATAAAACACTGTATGTTAATTATACTAGAATTCAAATTTTGAAAAAATCTAGAATTGGAAGAATTCAATACTTTTTTTTGAGATGGCTGTGCAAAAAAAAAAAAAATGGCACTATCTACTAAAGGCTGGTTTAAATTTCTTGGGAGGACAGGGAAGAAGCGTTCTGGGGAAGATAAAAGTTACAAAAACTTGTTCAAAACAGACCACAGGACCCAGATGACATGAGGAAGCAGAAGCAGGTCAGCAGTGGTACTACAGTTCCACAAGAACAAGGTAGGTCTCACTCCTTGGGAAAAAAAAGAGCATGATAAGAGCAGGGTTTCACTCAGGATGATAGCTAACAAAACACCATTCTGACTCTCTTTCTCTCTGCTTTATCTGTTTGGCGAGACAGTGCAAAAGACTGGCCACATATGACACCAGTCTCACCTACTCTTAGAACTTGCCTGCCCAAACACACATACAGTCTCCTCTCAATCACAAGGTAAACTCAACAGGGCAAGTTAAGTCAATCTAATTGGAATAGGCAGAAGATTCCATGCAGATATAAACACATTCTTTTACCAGTTTCCACCTAAATAAAGTTGACATTTTTATTCTAAACTGAGTTATGTCTACTTCTCAAAGGGTTTAGAAGTTGGAAGAAGGGATATATGGTATAATTAACTGGCCTCTTCAAACTCCAACAAAAGGTATATAAACTAAATGAATGGAAATTAATCTTAATTATATGGAGAGTGAGTTTAGTGTAGAATCTGTCAGCCACAGTGAAGTTTTAAATATTCTAAAAACATTCAACAAAGACTTAACACTGAGACTTAATTCAGTTGAAGAACATTTTTAGAGGTGGAGATTTCTAATTATGGGGTCAATGCCTTTGAAAGATATAGCACTAATAACTTTTACTTTTTTGTGTCATTTTGGTGAGTTGTATTTTTCAAGGAATTTGTTCATTTCACATATATTGACATGTTGTTCAGAGTATTTTATCCTTTAGATATTTCTTGGATCTCTAGTAATGTTTCCTTTTTATACCTATATTTTTAATTTGAGTTTTCTCCTTTTTTCTTAGTAGGGGCTTACATTTTATTAATATTTTCAAAGAAATTAACTTTGACTTTGTTAATCTTTGTCAGTCTTCTCTATGGAATGCCTTCTCTCTTTGTTATTTACTTCTTTCCAGTT